ATAAATTATATATTTAAAGTTACATTATTATATATAAAGAAAATCTAATCTTTATTAATATAATATTACTTTTATATTTTTTAAAAGCTTTAATTTATATTATTAAATTATTTTCTTTTTTTTAAATATAATTAAATATTTAAAGATAATAGCATTTTTTATTTTAATTTACTTTTTTTTTAAAAAAAATAAACTAGTTTATAATTAATAGTAACTTAATAAAGTATTATTTAAAATATAAAATATTTACTTAGGGTTTTAAATTAATTTTCTTTTAAGTATTAAAAAGGTTTTAAGGTTTATTATTATTTTCTTAAATAAGTTATTTTCGTTCTTTTTCTTATTATTAAAAAATAAGTTTTACTTTAAGTTATTTAATCTTTACTTTCAAAGTAATAATATAAATAATATTGATAAAAGCTTAGCTTATTATATAAGTTATTATATAGCCTTAACTTAGTAATAATTAATAAATAGGATTTAAGTATTTTAATAATAGCTATAAAAGTATTAATTATAAAGTCTTTAATTAGACTAAAATCTTAATAAACTTAATTAATAAGATTACCTTTAGGCTATAGTATTTTAAATAACTTTAATTGAAATAAATATATTATTTAATTAACTAAAAAGCTATAAAAAGCTTAATTAATAAAGTCTATAACTCTCTTATAACTTTAACCTTTTTTAATTAATTTATTTTTAAAAATACTTATTTTAAGAATTATAAAATTATTAAAAGTTTAATTAACTTTTTATTAAATATAAATTCTTTACTTTAAGATAAAATTAATAATACTAACTTTAATTATGATTAAAATACTAAACTTAATTAATATATAATTAGTAAAAGTTATTTAATAATACTTATAGCTTATTTTTATCAACTATTATAATAATTAATTAATTAATAGTAATAATACTACTTTCTTTTAAATTAAGTAAACTTTTAAAGTATTATTTAAAACTGAAATAATAATAGTAACTTATTCTACTATACTTAGTATAAGTATTTAAGTAGGTATAAATAAACTTGTTAATAAAACTCATAAAAGCAATATCCCGAGATTCAGAGTATAGTATAGTAAAATAAGAAGAAATGATCATCAATCAAGCCAGGAAAAGAAGAAAACTAACGGCAGGTAACTACTTAGGGTGGCGGAAATAGCTTTGTGCATTATTGGACAGGCGATGGTTAAAAGCAGCATATGTTTGCGAAGTCAAGTTGACTTTTACTGACCTAAGCCCGTTTGTATTTCGAGGCCAGCTTTGTGTATTATGCTCGTCCAGGGCGGCCTCGATTATAACTCCCCAGAGCTGAGTTTCAGGTGCATTTTCTCTGAACTCATGTAAGGTCCAGACTGTCGGCTCTCCGAGCACAGCGCTTGATATGACGGTGACTTCGCCACCAGAAGGCGCTACAGCGACAAAGTTCCATGCCACAAAGAAGTGATTTCGAGGACACTTGTCGATCGGAGAAAGCGGCTGGAAAACAATGGTATGGTAAGCAAGTCTCAAGTACAATGCTCAGTGAAGTACTGCGTGATGGCGCGACCACAACACACCATGTCCGTCTCTCTCTCCCACGTCGGTGCCAGGCAGCTTTTCCACTTGACTGCGAGATAGCACTCTCCATCATTGAATTCATAATGGCCTACGATCTGATCAAAATTCTTTTCGGGGTCCTCGGAATTGAAGGGCGACGGCTGGGCGGTGTCCTGCCACATTCGTGGCCCTGACCCATCGTCAAAAACCCATAGAAGGCAGTCTGGGCTTGTCCAGTCCGATGAAGTCGCATCTAAAGTCTCGGCACAAACACCATAAAAGACCCATGGCCCTACTTGAGTAGTTACGAGTATATCCTTTATCACGACGTGGGCAGACCAGGGAGTGCGTATATGGGCACCTTCCTCGACGCATTGTAGGCACCTCGGGGCTGCCATCGTATGTGGCAAGGTATGATTACGATTTTTATGTTAGAGGTAACCTTAGTTTAGTATCAGGCATGTGAACGACATTGTTTCTCAGAGTCCAATGGCTGGAGGAAATACCTGTTTATATACCCTACGATCCCAGGCCCAAGCTGTCCGTGTGGGAACTATCGATGGAATGACAGACTGGCTCTTCCTGAGACTGTTTAGGCTGTTAGAATTTGAAGTTATTTTACTTGTATCAAGGGGCCGTTTTCTGATTCGAGCTTGATTACGCTGTGAAGCTTAGTTGCGAGGCCAGGAATCGCCGCAATTGGGTGTATCGGAACGATACGTGGTAAAGCTGTTCCTCCACCGCTCGCAGCATCATCCAGACACTAATTCTAGATCACAAGTATTCATTATGTAACTCATCGTAGTGGTATTTGGACAGTCTGTTCCAGTCCATTGCCAGAGGTCACTACGAGTTCCGGGAGGCGTTATAGTAGACGTATGTTAGTACACACATTAGGATTCTCCGCTGTACGATGTGAGAGTGCACTTTGGCCCAACTAGCATCATACACAAACCTCTATCACTGCATAGTAAGGAGTCGGTGGGTTGGGCCTGAAGGTACAGAAGCCAACAGATATGATATGTATGAGAAAAGATTACATACACATCAACCCTCATGTTGCCTGGACTCAATTCTCTTTCCTATTCGTGCTACATCGTTACGCTCTCTTTCCGCAATTGAGATCGATACTATCGCATGGAGTCACTTTCCTTTGCGAAAAGAATCATACATACATCCACAAATCATATTATACCTAATACTTGGAATCACAACATTTCTTTCTCAACCCTGGAGCAGCTTCACTTCAAGAGAAGGTAATTCAGCCGTTGGAGACTTACTGTATAAATGGGCAGGGACCTCAGATATACCAACAGTATGATACATACCAAGAATCTGGGCAATCTTGAAAAGATCAACTGGCATAAAAAGCTTGCTACTATACAAGTTTCGGGCAGGGATTTGACACTACCCCGACTGCTCCTGCTCTACTTGCCAACCATCAGCTACGCTCGGCTCTTTCCAAAGGTTTACAACAGATGATGACTTAGGCGCAACAGATGATGACTTAGGCGACTGGCTGGACACTTGACTGTTTACTGTTGCTGCCTAAGTGAAGTGATTTTACTTTCCTCTGTCTTTCTTATTCTCATGTATCCGGACTGGTAGTCTGACCCTCTGGCTCGCAACATCTGCCTGTGTTCTGCAGAAGAGAATATCTCTGACCAAAACACTTCTATCCTAGTTTGTGGAAAGAAGAAGCAATGTGAAAGCCCCCTGATGCTACTGGTCCAGTCAAGATTTGCAGACCCCCCTCCCTTACTTAGCCCTGCTGCTGCCTATATTGTTTGCACGCCGCTCTGAGGTTGCCGTTCTTCGACATTCGACAATCATAGCCAGGGATACGTTCTGGGATGTACCGACTTGCTCTTGGTGAGGCATCTTACCTTAACCTTGTCATATATGCCCTCTCCCCTAGCCACGACGCAGGACACACTTGTGGGACGATTTAGTACTTAAGGAAGTGATGTCCCCCCCAAGTCTCGTACCCCAACTTCCTTCTTCACCACCTCCAAACCGTCATTGTTACATATTCTACTGGGTGCCAAATTGATTCCGTCTCTTTCAACTTGGGTATACACGGTCCCAGCTCCAAAGCACTTTTCGTCTCTCCTCTCCTCTTATTGGCCATCTACTCGACCCCGGAAAAGCCGATACAATGACTGGCTTGCTGGTTTCTTCCGGCTCGAGTGCCAAGGCCGTCGTTGACACAACCAAAGACTTCCTAAGATGCTACAAGAATCACGCTTTGACAAAACAGTCGATAACCGTTCCTGAGCCCGTGTATCCCACTAAATCCTTCAGCATTTCCCTTGATGGGAAACTGGTCTATTCCCCCCCTAGTAGCACGAAGCTCGAGATCTCCCCACTAGCATGTGCCGTCATTGAAGGAGAAAGGACGGTGATTTCTGAGCTCCTGGCCGGTTTGAAGCAGAGCATGCAGAGCACGCAGTTTCAGGATGAGATCAACAATGCTTATCTACTAAGTATCGATTTTATTCTTCTTGTCTCATACTCCTCTTGAACATACTCAGCTTTGCCCCAGCCTTACAATGAATGATATAGTATACTTTGGGTTGCCGTTATGCAGCCATCAAAGCATTGCTGCCGTCCTCGTCATGATCATGTTGCTTGCCGGTGCCCCCAAGTTGCTACGAGTGCTTGTAAGTCGCCAAGAATCTCTGCTCTACTCCGAGCATGTATGTCCCTGTGAATTGGCTTTAGGTCTACCGCCTAACGGTAACCTAAAAAATGCCTTGAAGAGTCAAAAGTATTGTAATGCCAGAAATGCTTCGTCAAGGCTATAAAATTACTGATCAGAGAACCACTAGAGGACAAAGGTGTTACGAGAGTTGAACGAAAGGAGGGCTTGCATAGCGAAACAAAGGGAAACCCCACCCAATTCAATGTGATACCGAGACGTTTATACCCGTTGGCTACCATCTACATCTGGGATCCGCCGCTTTGCACATATCGAACATTCTCTGAGGAATAGTTCTAACAGAGACCGTACCCTACTAGTGGTTCCTGCCCAGTCGCTCTTAACAGTGCCACGCGGACAATCGTATACTCAAAAGCCAAGTCCCCAATAAGTTCTGTGAATATCATAAATGGGTGCGGAATACAACGGCCTGCTCACAAGACGCTTATTCCAAGAAAACAGGATCCCCTAGAACTTGAGTGGTCTCACGCGTCAGTCCATCATAAACTACACCTGCCGCTCCCACCGTCCACGATGCGAACCCGGACGCAACAAATGATTGACCTATGATTCCTGCAACTGGCGCGCAAGGAGGGAAAGCTGTCGCTGCAACCACAGTACCCATCGCACCCAAATAGGAGCCCATGAATCCTACCATGCCGCTCCTTGTCGCTAGGCTCTCATGATTTTGGGGCAGGAGACCAACAAAGTTAAAATGCAATCTTTCTTCATTATGATCTTGACCAAGTGTAAACTACACCAGGTCAGTGCCTCGATGCCGGCCCCCGGTAACGATCAGCGGTAGCAGTTCGTCAGCAAAGGCAATGGGATGGTCCATCACGAGCGGGTAGTAGGCTGGAATAACAAGATGGAACACGGCGGCACGCCCATAATCGGTCGTTGCAATAAGAGCTTCTCTATCGGCTCGCATCCTCAAGCATATTGTCGCAAGATCATGATGATAGCCTCCGAACGCAGGACCAAGGGGATCTTCTGCCTGTCTTCCTTCGAATGCAGGATACCAATCGCTGTCCGGGTGCCATACATAGAAGCAGTGATGTTGACCATCCTGTGTACCGTCGACGGCAGCCATCTCATTCTGGACGAAGCGATGCACGTAGGTGCCGAACCCACCATGACCCCAACCTTGCACCCTGGCGACGTTTGCAATCTCGAGTTCGGATCGTATGGCATCGAGGCTTGCACCGACTCTTCTGATGGCACTCGCGACATCCAACAGTACCAAAGATATAGAGCCCAGGGCGGCGGCCTCGAAGTAGGCTAGGAAGGCTGGGGTCGAATTGAACGCATTGGGAACGACCCGAATTTCTCTCGCGTGAATGCCGCTGAGTAACTGCGGTAGAGCGTCTCGTACCTCCTGGTACGTCTGCTCTTGCTGCCTCGAAGCTCTCCGTTCTCCCCTCTGCGTCAGCAACTGAGATAGCCCTAGCACTAGGGGCCCCAATTGTCTGGCGAGTATAAGAGCCTGCTGGTAATTGAGGCTGGCGATGATGCGGGACCGGCGAGGCTCATTTCGACGATTATCACGACCAGGTAGGCAGAATTGTATGCGGGGGCCTCTAGGGTTGTCTTCGGGAGTGCCTGGTTATCGGGCGGTGAACTGGGGTCCAAAATGATCGAGGAAAGGCGACAAGTGTATTCATGGACAGGATCCCGATAATTAGCACCATCAGAAATGAAGAGGGGTAATCCAAGCGTGCCGGGCTTGTGTGTGGTCATCTGAGACGTGCATGTCGTTGGTCAACCAGACACCTCCACGAATGGTCGTTGGATGCATGGACGTCGAAAGTACTTCAGCTGTTTGGTGTGCCATTGGGTGGTTGTGAGGAGGACCAACAATAATTGCCAGACGTTGTGTTGTGCTGGGAAATGAGGTCTGTTGCCCGCTGATGAGTCGAAGTGTTGACGTTTGAACCTGCCTAGGATGATCATCCTTAGTTACCACCCCGCTCACCCTGCCTTCTCGCTCTTGCCGACCGTCCCCACGCGTCACGTGTCACAGGAAGCACAACACGCGATACGCGATACGCGTGCGCCATAGCTGATGTATCTCACACACACAATTCATTAACAGAACATCCCGCATTTTATGCACATATTATTCACTTGCACATATTCACTTGGTACTCAACAAACACACTGACACATGTACCTATCGTACGCCCGCCTAACCTGCAGACCCAACCATGCACGCTCGCTTCAACTCCGTGCTCCTACCAACTCCGTGCTCCTACCAACTCCGGAAACGGCACATACTTCTCTCCGGGCGGAAATCCTCCCATTACTCATAGACCATGACTCCCTCGTGCGGCATGCACTGCTAAGGACCACGCGATAGTTAGGCATCGGGCTCTTGCCCATTCACTCCCCATTATTTTTTTCGGCCACCATACCAGCCTGCATCTTGGTAGGACACAGCAACTGCGCAGCATCTTCCAGCATCTGCTGAATGACCAAGGGCGTGCCGAATCTTGCCGTATAGAATGCGTAGATGACGACCGAGGCGCAACCCAAGCAAAGCAGGACACCCAATGTGAGGGAGATGAACTTGCATCGTCCTACAAGTCTCGCATCACCAGCCGCCAGCTCAAAAAGCAGTGACCAGGTCCAGGTCAAGTACATCGTACGAATCGAGACGCAGACAAACACTATCGTTATCCCGCCAAACGCCGCATACATGAGCATCCTTCCTCGACTTCCATTCATCCTGGTCACCGCAAAGACCGGCACAGCACCCCAGATCATGAAAACAAGGAGTATCGTATCAAGGATAAGGTATCCCAAGACCTCCCTTGCTTCCTTCTCCAGTCCCGACTCAATCAGGGCCAGCCAAAGCTGGTTTTGAGTAGACCATGCCAGTAGGCTTGGTGTCGCTGGTACGCCGACCAACAAGGTCAATTGGACGACGAAGAGCACGGATGCAAGCAAGTATCGCCCAAACCGCGACAGAGGTGTAATGGCTTCCGGGAAGGGGTCTCTGTGGATGGACCAAAAGACAAACTTTCTGTCCCGTTGGCGAGCCATGTCAACGGCCTCGGTTCTGTTCATTTTTTACTAGTGGACAGCCAGGTCAATATGCCTCTTGTCTAGATACGACAAGTTGTCAAAGCAGGCATAGGCGAGGAAAATCTGGTGCAATGGCTATGGCTGAATGAAAAGTTGGAGCCAGTTACGTGTCTGCTGTCTTGATGCTCACCTCGACCGATTGTTACACCAATATTTATGCCCAAACGCCCTGTTGCTCGGCTGTGTCGGGGTCGAAACACGCCGTTGCATAACGTACCCTCAATACAGCTCAAAAGTGACGCTTCATCCCTTGACAATATGGATCAGAACGCGCGGCGGCTACGGGACTTTCGGGACCGTTCTTGTTTTGTGAGTAGATCTCACATTGCTTCTCGCTATGAGAAGCGACTACCTTGATGCATCAGAGTACTGTCACGATTCTGACCGGTATAGCCTCGGCCCTGATCGAGACGTGCTTCCATTTAAACAAAAAATCCGTAAGCATAAGCCTGGATATGAACTAAAAGTTGTGGTAAAGCTCGTGTAGCTGTTCGTTATGCGTATGGACCTCAGCGGTTGTTCTCCTGGTATGTCGATCCAATAGTTAGCAAGAGAAGCTCAGGATTGTTCGCCAGCCTAATTTGAACGTCTTAGAGAATGGGCCAAGTGTGGACAGTTAGAGGTTTTAATCCTAAAATTACGCATGGTGTAAGAATACCCTATATGAATGACACGAACCAGCTCTTTATTATGGGGATGTTGGAGAACAATGACGACGCTGTCATATCATTCGAAGACCTTGCACGCGATTATGAAAGCGCAGAGATAGTAGAAATTTTAAATGGAAAGGTGTAGTTATCATTGCTGATCCTCAGGTTGGTGGATTTGCATGGTGACCTGGAAACTGCAGTACAAATCACGGAAATAAGAGCGGAATACTATAAATAGATCAAACGCCGATAAGCCGATAACCTTATCGATAGACCGATTTCGGCAGATAAGCCGATAAGCACGGCGTGACCCACAATCTCCAATCGCACGTCACATTCAACCACGGTGAATGGCACCAGAACCAGACAAACGAATTAAAAACTGACTAGCAAGTTGCGACCACTCAAGACAACGAACGACAGCAACCTGGCAAGAATCGAAAACTAGGTAATCAAAACGATCGTCTCCCTTCATCGGAAAAGTCGACAAGCGAGCCAGGTTCCTGATTCATGTCAATCACCAGGCTATCTACTGTCACTGACATTGCTACCACTGCGCATGCTCTTCCGACTTTGTCGCAGCTTCTTGCTGCCTGTTTGACCGTGTTTTGATAGAGCGATTTGGAGGAAGGCTGCAATTGACAGGCGGTTTAGGCCGTTACAGGCGTGTAAAGCGACGTACTGTCAGCAATACAGGCTTCGATAATTTCACAATCTATGCAGACCATATATCAGTCATAAATTCGTTTCTGGACTGTTTTATGTTTGGCATTAAGCTATTGTGATGACAATATAAATGTGTTATTTACTGGTTATCCTTGCTTTGCTGCGCCATGAACACGCCGATTAGATAAGAGAAGAGTTGATTCAGCCAATCGCTTAAGGCTACCCTATATCTAATAATTTTTACTCTTGCACTAGACCAAACAGATCTTCCGCGAGCAGTGTGGAGGAACACCTTCCTTCGTCATCACACTTTCTTGGCATACAAGTGTTAAGAAAGTGGCCCTGTCTACACCAAAATCCTTAACAAGTGCACAACAAACATTTCAATCTGCGCTTTGCGCAGTCGCAAGTCGCAGCGATGGCTTCTCTCCCGTCCCCCCTCGGCCCCGCCCTTGATCTAGGGGTCCACACTCCCGCTAATCTGAACCGAAGAGCCCGTGCAGCCCTCTTGCAGAACAGCCCCGCGGTCGTGAACAGCCCCATTGGTGTTTCACCCAGACCTGGGCGGACGGCCCAGACACCGTCCCGCCACTCAACGCCGCCCCCTCGAGTACGAAGAGCTGAGCGTGCCAATCCCGCATCGACCCCTGAACAGCAACCAATCTCTATTATCGAATCGGCCAATGATCTCGCGCGTAAACACGCGGAAGAGTACGACGCCAAACTAATGGTCTTCCAGGCCTTCTGGCGCCAAGCTTGAAGAAGCCAACAAGCAATTCACCTCCGACCGCCGACGTTTCGCTCAGAAGTTTGTCGACAGCGTCCTGCGAAGAAGTTCTAGCGATGTACCAGGTTCTAAACCTACCTACAGCAGTGTCGCCGCCGCCTCGCTCCCCGCTGACCGCGCCCGCACAGCCCACCAGCATCATCATCATCAAAAACAAAGCACCGACAAAGGGCCCACCTCATCGCCAAGAGCAACAAAGCCCCCCCGCCCCCCCCGACAGGACCTCCGCGTCTTCGTCCGTCTAGAAGCCGGAGCTCCGGCTAGGGACCATAGCGGCTATGCCATCCGGACCCTGATCAGGGAAAAACTCGGCACCGTCTCGGAAGGTCACCAGTTTCGGTCAGGTCGGGATTGGCAGTCCTTACTGGCCGACCATGAAACACGCGATTTTCTCGTAGAGAAGCAGGCCGAGTGGGCGGCTGAGCTGGGAGCTACGGCGGTAGAAAAAAACAAGGAATGGCATACTTACGTGGTCTCAACTTTCCCAGAAGACTGACCGACTTTCGCGGCAACGAGGTGGATAGTGACAGCGTTGTCAGTGATGAGATAGAAATCCAGACAGGGCTCAAGCCCGTTGATATACGTCCTGGAAGACAATTCTCGGATAACCCTTTGACCAAGGCTCTCCTTGTCTCCTTCCTGAAGCCCACCAAGAAGAGGTTCTGGTCCCTCTTCGGGAGCCGGGCGGCCAGACTCGTAGACAAAAGCGACGTACCCCAAGCAGTGCGAAACGTGCTGGGGCTACCACTTTACCCGCAAGTGCCATAGACAGCCAGTCTGCCAACGCTGTGGCAAGACTGGCCACTCTGGAGACGACTGCGCTGCATGGGAGCAGTGCGTCAATTGCTTAGCCACGAGCGCCTGTACGTGTCACCCGGCCGAAGAAAGTGCGTGGCGTCCTCCGCCGGCTCAGCAAAGAACAACGGGAACACATCAGAATAGTGGGCGCTGAGACGTACCGACAACGTCACTTGGATTCACAACCAGAATCCCACATAGAAATCCGACAAGACACGACCGAGCTGCTGAGGGACGATACCCCAGCAGACGAACGTCCAGACGCTCGAGACTCGAGCCCGGCCGCGTCACGAGCACCTTCGTGCATCATGGTGGCCACCGCCCCCAGGGCGGGTTATGAAATGGAGGAGCCCGAGCATCCTAGACCAGGCTCGCCACGAAAGCGTCGAATTGTACTCATTACTCGTCCTCATGACCAGGAATAGATATTCGCAGACACGAAAGAACGACAGGAAGCCGCTCAAGGTCTTCCAGGCCAATGTCGGCAAGATCCCTCCGGCTCACGACTGCGCTCTGGCACTGGCTGACTCGGAACGATATGACATCGTGCTCCTGCAGGAGCCGTGGACAGCCCATACGAAAACGCGCTGCCTGACGAAGACCCATCCTGCTTACGACACGTTCACGCCAGTAGAGTCCTGGGACAGTAACGATACTCGACCTAGAGTGATGACATATGTCCGACGAGACCCAAGGCTTCTCGCTGACCAGATACGACCGTTCCAGACTCGCGATATTCTCTGGATCACAATCAATGGCGTGACTGTAGTCAACTTCTACCGCCAGAACGACGAAAGGGATGCCCTTGACACGCTGCTTCGATGGCCTGTCCCGGAACGCTGCCTCGTCGCTGGCGATTTCAATGCTAGACATCGAAGCTGGCAGACAGGGCAGACTACGGACCGCGGCCAAGAGATTGCCGGTTGGGCATCAGAGAATGACATCGACCTGCTTAACACGTTAGATATCCCAACAAACCCACACGGCAACACAATCGATCTCGCTTTTGCCAACATCCCACTTGCTGAAGCCACTGTTGAGGACCATCTCGCCACTAGCTCCGACCACTTCACCCTCAGCTTGACTCTCCCCAACATAAAGCCCGCTCCACTACAGCCGGGCAAGATTCGAGTGACGACAGAAGATGAGCTTAAACGATTCGTCGAGATCGTAGAGCTTGGAGCCACAGAGATCCCCCTCAGAGATTCAACGCCCGCGGAGCTGGACAATCTTGCGTCTTCACTTGTAAATCTGCTAACATCAGCAGCGAAGGCAGTGGGTCGGCCCTCACGGAAAGGTGGCTGCCCAGCTCCATGGTGGACAGAAGAGTGCGCCTGTGCCGCGGCTGCATTCCGGGCCATCAGAAGGAGGCACCCCCTCAGCTTCAATCAGGATGTTCAGATCGCCAAGAGAGACTTTCATCGCGTGGTCCGCCGAGCAAAACGAAAGTACTGGCGGGAACTCATCGATAGCTTCTCCAGCAGCAGTGCTGTCTTCAAGACCGTCCGGTGGCTGAAATCTCCGGGGCCCTTCCAGCCGCCTCCCCTGCAGGTCGACGACGCTGTATACGAAACTCAGATGGACAAGGCGAGCGCACTTCGGGGAGCGTTACTGGAACGCCGAACTTCTGATGACGATATTGGAGACCCCTGGACACCAGTCTCTCCTCCTCGATCGATCACATTCTCACCCGAAGTCTCCCTAGACGAGGCACAGCATGCGACTATCCATACAGGCAATACTTCCCCTGGGGCGGATAGCATCACCGTCAATCTTCTCAAAGCCGTGTGGCACATCGTCGGGACGCATATCCGTCGTTTGTTCGAAAGGTGCCTCTCCTTGGGTCATCACCCGGAACCATTCAAGCAGGCGGAGGTGGTCATGATCGCGAAGCCGGGACGACGAGACCTCACAAAGCCAGGGGCATGGCGACCCATCTCCTTGCTCTCCTGTCTCGGAAAGGGGCTGGAAAGATTGATCGCTCGCCGCTTGGCGTGGGCAGCTGTTCACTATGGCGTCCTTCATCCACAACAGGCGGGCGCTCTCCCCAAAAGGTCGGCAACAGACCTGGTGACCGCCTT